AATTATATATTAATAATGGGAGGAGTAGAGAATTTTAAAAATTATAAATCTATCACTGTTTCTAGATATTAAAAAGAACAAATTGGTAATATTTGTACTACTGTAGTTCTATAAATAAAAATGTATTACTTTTCAATGTTTATATAATTTAAAATTGCATATATCTATATAGTAAATTGTACAATTAATCTTATACCCCCCCCCCCCACCTCCCCTAAAGAATAGCTTAAGAATTTGTAAATTTTATGGAAAATAGTCAAATTTTCTCTCATTTAATGTACTTGCTTCGGCAGTACATATACTAAAATTGGAACGATACAGAGAAGATTAGCATGGCCCCTGCGCAAGGATGACACGCAAAATCGTGAAGCGTTCCACATTTTTTTGTGTCCGCTGTCCTTGTATAAAATTGTCATTTTTTACTGAATATCTTTAATTTTTCACTGTAACAATATTTTTTTCGCAATAAACTATTTATTCATTTGCTGGGGGATGGGGGGGAGGGCTTTCTAACGCAACCTCTCGTTTTACATAAAATTCGAACCTCACATGGTAACATAGGAGACTGTGTATACAATTTACCCTAATTCAAAAACACAATTAATGTGGTATTTGTGGCAAACTGTTACAACGAGACAATACGAAATCCAAGAAATATTTTGGCATTTTACTCTTGTACTTGTACCTGCAATTTTGCACAATGCACAATGCACATGAAGACTGTCGTTAGTAGACAAAAATCCTTCTCTTAAACAGCTCTTGTTTCTTCCTTTAGTTTAAATTGAATTCTAAATATGAAATATGAAAAGAGGTTTCAAGAGACAGGGGCGGACACAGGGGGGTGGGGGGGGACATTCGCCACCCCCTTACAGATTCAGGGAGGGGCGTAGCCACCCCCTGAGATTTCGAGGCAAAAAATGTTCCCAATTTGATAAATCGTATGTGTTTTTCAATTTTAAGCTATTTGATTATTTTTTATTTAATGGAAATATAATTATTAATATTTATTGAAAAATTAAATTCATCAGAAGAGAAGGACGAAAAAAATATTTTTCTAGCTTGTTAAAAATAAATATAAGTTTATAACCAACGATGTAAGTATACGACGACAGCCATTGTGTTTTGTTTTATTGGTACGCGGCACACTGCACATCTTGAGTCTTTTCTTCAGTTTAATTTAAAAATCAACGACAACAAGTAAATGTTATTGTTAACGATAAATTTAGAATTAGAAATTCGTAAGAAACTAGTAATTTCTTTTTGATCTTAAATTGCTAATGTTCCTTTTATTGTTCCTGTTCCTAATACTGTGTCCAACCCACCTGAAATCCCTGTCCTAATCCTATATTTTTGTTTCTTATTCGTGAGCAATCTTTTTATTGTTCCTAAATCCCTGTCCTAATCCTTTAATTTTGTTCCTAATTATCAATTTTTTGTTCCTAAAAAATCTTGCCCCCCCCCCTCACTTAAATCCTGTGTCCGCCCCTGTCAAGAGAAAAGAGAAGGATGGGACACTCTCCACTATAAAAATTACTTTTTATGCGGTGAGAGAACTGCCCATCACTTCAGTAGTCGCGCCAAAATCTTAGTTAAGAGTGGGTGTAGGATTTGTAGAGAATTGGATGGGATGAATTTGAAGAGAAGAATGGGACGGATTTGAAGAGAAGGATTGGACTGATTTGAAGAGAAGGATGGGGTGGATTTGATGAGAAGGATGGGATAGATTTGAAGGGGAGGATTTGACGGATTTATAGAGACGGTTGAAGAAAACGTTGAGACTGATTGAGAAGAAGGTTGTTAGAAATGTTTAGGGGAGGAAAATGTTGCAATCAAGATTGCAATAATAATGTACATAATATCTATAAAGACGTTTACCACTATCAGTAGAAGGGTGTGTGGCCTAATGGATAAGGCACCAGACTTCGGATCTGGGGATTGCAGGTTCGAGTCCTGTCACGCTCGTTAACATTTTGTTAGCAATGTTATGGAATATTTAAAAATATCAAAAGTGAAAAAAGAAAGTATTAACAATTAAAATGTGTAAAAAAAAATCATGAACTATAAAATACAATAAAATACTACATGATAAAGCGATTCAATCGAATTTACCAATGGAATTTGAGCGATAACTAAAAATGAAAATGAATATCTAAACGATATGAAAATGAATATCTAAACGATATGAAAATGAATATCTAAACGATATGAAAATGAATATCTAAACGATATGAATAAGAAAAGACGATTTTCATTCTAAGCTTTCGACAAGTTTTAATTTTACCGGCAATGTGAACAACAATAATAAATGTTGAAAAATTTCAAGCAAAAGAAACGAAGAAAGAAAACCCTATATTTTTCACAAAATGGTCTTGGGAGACTTGCGATATCTTTAAAATCTGAAATCAATCATATCGACAATCCAACGGTTTTTATTGCTCTGAACTTTAATTAAAATCTTGCCACAATATAGACATTAAATCTTACCAAGACAGGATACGGGTATCCTAGTCCTGTGATAGATAGATACAGACTACAGCTTGCCCGTTTACCCTGAAGATAGGTAGATACAGAACGAAGATAGATAGATAAATTCATGTTTATTTGCTGTCCGTATATATAAATTTTGTGCAATGTTTGTGACAAAAATTTAAAGACAATTAAGCGCAGAGGTGTTAATTTCTTGAAAAATCATCCCTCTTCAAATTGGGCTTCTATCCGCTAAACTGGGGGAAAAATTAACTTTAAAGGAAATTAAATATCTTTTGTTTGTATGGTAAAGCTTCAAATCTAATTTTTTCAGGAGTGGAAATTCTTATGAATATATACATCTTAAAATAGTATATTACATCGTCACGTTTCTCCATCTGTATCACGTGACCTACTGTACTGCCAGTGGCGTACATAGGGAGGGGCAGTAGTCCTCTTGCCCCCCCCCCCNGGGGTCCCTAGATGTCCCACAAAAAATTTGGGCCCGATCGGTTCAGCCGTTTTGACGTTTATTGGATACAAACAGACAAACAAACAGACAGACAGACAAGCCAAATTTATATATATATGTAGATGGAGTAAAATTCTATCTACAAATTTCAGAAGAAATTTCGTTTATTAGTGAAAATATGATTTTTTAATGCTGCTGTGATTATTGATTTAGTTAGCTGTGATGGAGTTAAGTGATATATTTATAAATTTATAGAGTTAAAAAGTTAAAGTTAGTTTTTCGAGCAAAGGAATAAATTTTAGTATAAATTTTAGACTCTAAGGTTTGTAACACCCAAAAATGTAGTCTTATTGGTGTATTTTTAAGGTGTTAATTGACTTTTTGAACAAAACAATTCCAGGGGGGGGGCAAAAATCTTGCCCCCCCCGGGTTTAAATCCTGTGTACGCACCTGTGTACTGCCATTGGTGGGGATTCTGGTTACCGACGTATTTAATATTATCAATTATATATCTATTAAAAATGCTAAATTAAAATCATTATATTACAACAGGAGCATTAATCAATACTTTCTGAATTCGTATGGACGCTACGTTCTTCAGCATGAGTTGTTTTAAAACATTTTTCTCTTGATAGCGCAACAAACAGATGGAAGTAAGATTTGTAGTGATCAAAAGTGCTTATTTTTTTTGCCGAAAGGCCTATACCCTTTTTCATTTTTCGCGAACACTCCCTTTAATCACCATCTGTTGGTGAATAATAGTATCCTAAGTGCAGCACAATGCCCTTGAGGCCTTCAAGTATTTAAATTTATTTAAAGAATATTTGAAGTCTGGAAGAAAAGCTGATTTTAAAATGAAATTTAAGATGTTTTTTCATTTAATATTTGTCTATACCCTAGATACCCCGCACACCCCCATCTCTCTGTTCGGTTTGGTACTTTATCACTTCTGCAGTTGCAATTGTTTCTCAATAGGTGCTTAATTTAAAGAAAAAAGTACTACGCCTCATGAAATATGTAAAATTAACAGAACATGTATTGTAACCTATATGAACTAATTTTGAACAATAAGTTTGGAGTCTACGACCCACATGGTGTCCCAAGAAACATATGGTAATGTTGATCTGCTCTACTGCCCATCCGACCTAGGACAGCTGTTTATTTTTGTATTATTTGAGGGTTAGGTTGGGCTAAGAGAATTTCTGGTCCGAGCACTGCGGCTAGGACGGGCTAAGGGGCCGAGCGTCACGGCTAGGACAGGCTAGGGGGCCGGGCGCTGCAGCCAGAAGTCCATCTAGCAGCTGTAAAACCACATGCTAGTAGGTCGGATGGCAGTAGGACGGATAGGCGTAGGTCCAGAAATACCCATCGAAATATGACAGTTGGTGAATAGTTTTTAATGTCTTCTTCAACATACTGTATTAGATAATAAAGACTTTTTGCATCCTATTTCTTTAAAAAATGTTTAAACACGTCAATTTACTGTGAAATCAATTTTACTATTGTATAACTGTCTCATAAAAAATGTTATTAGTCTCTTTATAGTATCAAACAACTTATCAAATTAGGGAAGAAGAAATTCTTAACTGTTTACCAAATGTCATGTTTCGTTGAACACCCTATACGTTCCCCGTGAAAGCTTTAATTTTCTGTAGATCCTGTGATCTCTGTTAAAATCCAAGGGGTATAAATAAAGGTTAATATTCACAGAGTGTAAAGGATAATTTACACCAAGTTTAAAGACGTAAACATCCACAAAGTTTAAAAGTTAATATCCAATGAGTTTAAAGGCTTACGTCCACAGAGTGTAAAGGTTATATCCAAGGGAGTGTTAAGGTAAATATCCTCGGAGCAGGCTGACCAACCTTGGGGATATCATCCCCTAAAAGTGCACATTTGGAGATTTTGAAAGTCTTTTGGGATTTTCAAAGTTTCCATGTCAGCCAGGAAATTTTATTTTAAATGACTTTATAAACGATTTTTACAACTGTTTTTAGCGCGAGTATAAACATCCTTTAGCCTTTGACTAAGTTGACAATTACACAGCTAAAAATCTATGAAATTTTCACAATTTCAATAAAATTTATTTAATTCTTAACAGATAATAAAGCTTTATTTGTCAAAGAATTTGACTTAAAGAAATTTAGATGCAAACTAGGATTTTCCACATTGCATAATCAGTTCCATAAACATCTCTTACAGAATAAGTAAATTTGTACATAATAAAACCTTTATTCAAAATTACGCGGAATAGATTTGGATCTAGGACTACGGACACTGATATCCACAATCTTGACAGACACAACCACACTTCTAAACAAAAATAATCAGTCATATATATGAAGAGTTTAACCACAGTTGATGCAAAATTTACTAATATATGCTCTAAAAAATTATCTTTTTCAAATTCAGTTCCTCTATAAAAGTTACTTTAACTAAATTAAACACTTACTAACGACGATATCTTTCTCATTCTCAGTGTTAAAAATTCAGCGTATACCCCCCTTCATTTTTCGCAAACACTCCCTTTAAGTTACAATTTGTAAAAAGATAAAGGGTCGAATGACTCGAAAACCTTGATCAATACTAATCCCCCACTTAAACATATAAAAATATGAAAATATGGTTGAAATTACTTTTTCCAGCTGTTTCGGTAGTTTCAGGAAAGCACAGAGCGCTTGTTTCGTTAACGATATTTCCCACTTTCAAAAAGTTAACCCTTAGTTAACGATCCCAATTTTATTAATGGCTGGTGCCGTTAACAGTTTTTTTTTTCAATTAACCTTATACAGTGATAACCAGAAAACTCGGGAATATTAGAACGATTTTGTAGCAATACTTAAATGAATTTGATGTTGTTACACAGAATATAGTTTTGCTAGACACTTATAAAATCACTAATTAAGTGAAATGGGTCTGTTTAGACCGTATAATTACTGGTTCCATGCTCAATGGACTTTTTAAACTTAAAACTTGCCTCTACAAGTCGTTTGCCTATTTCAGAGTTTTCTGGTTATCACTGTAACTTACCTTTGAATCAGACTTTAAGGCGAAAAGCTCAGAAAAACATGGTGAAAGGGGAATTGGGGAAAAGTGGAGGGTGGGGAGGAATATTTCCCCAACTTTTTTTATTTTCCAATAAACCGTCTAATTGAGGCCTCTCTGTGCAACAGTTTTTTATTTAACTCGACGAAAACTTCATTCATTAATACAGAAAATGTAAAAAATATCAACTCGGTAGGAAAATATGTGGAAAAATGATCTGAAAACCCTTATACTTGGTATACTCCTATTCACTAACCCTACAGCTTGCCGTTGAACCTGACTTTTTGCCGAAAAATCTTGAAAAATTGAAAAAATTGGGTTTCATTTCAGTTTAAACCAACACAAATGGTGCGAACATTCAAAATTTTATTAAGATTGTCAAAAATCGTATTTTTGACACCTCTACTCTCATACTTAGAAATTTTCTTCTCTCCTAGGAATACCCCCTCCTCCTGTTCTCTCCTATAGAATACCCCCCCCCCCTGTTTTGAAAAGAACATAACATACAATTCAAAACCAAAAGAGGTAAAGATTCCAATTCCACCCTTTGAGTTTCCCATTTATGCTGGGTGCAAAAAATATTGTAAAATATTGTAATATATTGCAAAATATTCCATTCTTGCATGGACAGAAGTATTATAACTCTCTATAACTCCTTTGAGATCAGTATTTACTTTTCAATGAACTTATTCTTTAGCCTGTCTCTAGTCAAGGAGAGGAACGTGTTTGATCAATTCTAGTTCAAAAATTAGGAACCCCCTCTTTCTTCTTGTTCGTCTTCTTCTTCTCCCTTTTCTCCTTCTCATCCGTCTTCTTTGCCATCCTCTTCCTTAAATTCTTCACCTTCTCCATCTTCTCCTTCTCCTCCTTCTCCATCTTTATATTCTTCACCTTATCTGACATTTTCTCTGAAACAGAAATTATAACTTCAATAACACTGAGGAATAGAAACATTAATGAACACAAAATAAACTTTAAAGGAGAAATAAAATGACGGGTCCTGGAGTTGACTATCTTGATTCAAGAATGTACAGAGCGTCCCATATCATATTAGACTATCTCCAAGCTTCAATGCCAAATTAAACCCATAATACTCGAAAAACCTAGCATTTTCTGCAAGAAAAATTTATATGAGCCTTATTCAATTTTACGAAATGATATATTCTTCTTAATATTTCTTATTAGTCCCAAAAAAACATAATTTAGACTGATTAACGATCTAATATGATATGGGACACCCTGTAGGTAAAGTGGTTCTCGAGATACTGGGGTTTGATTGTATTCTATGTACAGTGTACAGTTTTAGTTAGTTTACTCCAGTATACTAATATTATTTACAGTACACTCCCAAGGATCCCAAGGTGTGATAGCTGTAATGAAGGTTATAATGCAAGGAAAGTTAATTGCAGTTGCGTATACTCTGCCTACATTGAAACTGAAACGGTGCTATGGAAACGCCTCAACACGGAAACGTCTCAATGCGGAAATGCCTCAAAAAAAGCGGAAACCCCTCAAGAAAACCTTTTTTTTTCTGTAAGAAAAACGGAAATCCCTCAAAACCCAGTTTTTGAGGGGTTTCCTCTTTATTTTGAGGCGTTTCCTAAAATTTTTGAGGGGTTTCCGCTTTTCACCTGACAATTATTTTTGAGGAATTTCCCAATATTTTTGAGGCGTTTCCGCAAAATTTGTGAGGTGTTTCCGTATTTTTAAAAACTTGATTTAGTTGAGGTGTTTGCTCTTTTTTTGAGGAGTTTCCATTTTTTTTTTTGAGGCGCGTTTCCGTTTTTATAAAAAAAACTTTTAAAACTTTATTTTGTTGAAACGTTTCCTCTTTTTTTGAGGCGTTTTCGTTTTTTTAGAGGCGTTTCCGTTTCTTTAAAACTTAATTTTGTTGAGGCGTTTCCTCTTTTTTTGAGGCGTTTCCTTTTTTTGAGGCGTTTCCGTTTTTTGAAAAAACTTTTAAAACTTTATTGTGTTGATACGTTTCTCTTTTTTTGAGATGTTTCCGTTTTTTATAAACTTTTTAAACTTTATTTAGTTGAGGCGTTTCTTCTTTTTTTTGAGGCGTTTCCGTTTTTTTAAAAAACTTTTTAAACTTTATTTTGTTGAGGCATTTACTCTTTTCTCGTTTAAAAAAAAACTTAGTTCCTTTCTTTAAAAATCTTTCCCCCTTTCCAAAATAATTATCTCCTCCCAGAAATTCAACACGTCATGAGGTTTCAAAGAAATAGGGATTAGAAAAATTAGAAAAACAATTTTTAGGGTTTTAAAGGTTTTAATTGCTGATTTTTTGGGTAAAAATTAAAAATAATTAAAAATGATGAAAATTTCCCTCTTAATGATCGATCTAATTTATCTTTTTGTTAATTTTCTAGAAAACGATTTTCTAAAAAATAAAAATGGTCATGTACAAAATTGATAGAAGGGGGGGGGGGCTGGGGTCCAAAAATCGAAAACTAGGACGGACCCATCTTTTCTTTTTTGATTATCACTAATTTTATTCAATGCAATAAGACGGCGTTTCTATTTAAGTTTTGATTTCTAACAAAGTTATTTAAAAATGTCTGTCCGATTGGTAATGTTACAACGTTTATACGAAACATCCTCTATACTAATTTTCCGACCAATTGCAATATCCGACCTATTCAACAGATGTTGGTCGGTAACGGTTGCACATTTTTTCTTTAATCCGACCTATACAGGTGTGATAGTGACACATTTATATGATCCATGGCCATGCAGCAAAGTATGGAGTTGCATTTACTAAAACTGAACTGAAATAAATATTAACATACATATTAATAATCAAAATTTTTTAACACATTTCAAAGATTTTATTTATTTAAAGAAAGAGGTTTCAATCAACAGTTTCAACTGGTGATAAAAACTATGAGACCCATGAGCAGGGTTTGTACATTTAGAAATTGTTGCATAATATTAAACCTGCAGTTAAGCTTAAAACATATGCGGGGGATGTTTTTAAATGCTCCAGAATCCAATCTTAAATACTTAATTGATTTAAAAATCAATAAGTAATAACTTCTACAATACATCGTGTACTCCGTGTACTTACATTTACAATACATCGTGTACTCTGTGTACTTACATTTACAATACATCGTGTACTCTGCTATGTAAGGTAGTTGAACTGAGTATGCAGTGTTGTTGAAAGCTTCTTTCGGATTCATTTGAGACATATTAAACGTTTTAACTATCTGTAAATCCTGAGTTTGAACGCAAATTCGATGTTCATGACTCCTACTTTGGGGGTGGATACGTTTTCAGAATTAGTTTTTTTTTAAATATCTTCCTAAGAAAACTGACAAACATATCTAATCGTTATGCTTTAACGATAAATAATTGTAAAAAGCTTAATTTTTTGTTTCGGAAAGAAAGCTCTTTGTTAAGGATGGAATGAATTCAAGAATTGAGTTCTATAGTTTATATATCAAGTATCTTAAAAATGCCAAGGCACGAAATTATTATTTTCAATCAAACCAATTGAAGTGTAATAATTTAAATATTCAAATATTTAAAATGTTTATCTATTAAAAAATATTAAAAACTCTACTTGGATTTGGGGAAATGGAAAATATTTCTCTAAACAAGTAATCTGAAGGTTTCTTTAATTTCAGTTTTATCTTTTAAACCCCCATCCCATATAAAAACAACCTGACATTTTTGAAATTATTTTTGCATAAACAAAATCCAAGGAAATAAACACAAAGAGGAGAGGATATTCATATTCATTCCAGTTTTTTGGTTTTCAGTTTAGCCATACTTTCTTTTGTAAAACAAGTTTCACTTAAGAATTAAAAAAATGAGTAGCAAACAAAGATACTGGAGGAGAGCCGTGTAGAATTTGAGGACTGGATTTTCTCTATACGTGAAGGACATTGATGAGAGCAAGATTATTTAAGAACAAATCTGGGTTTAAAATTGTGTTCTTTATGTGAAGGATTGATCTGGCTTCCAGATGTTTTCCATCAGCATTTTCGTTTTATTACATCGTCAAGATCCATAATTTCATTTTCCACAGTCTTATATCTATTCTTCTAAAAAAAACACTTTAAGAGACGAGCATGCTACTACAGTATACATATTCCACTTAATTCTTTATATTATGAAGTCAATTACTAAAGGAAATAATCACGTGTGTGAGTTTTTTAACAGTATATTTCAGTGAACATTTTAACAGAATAGCTAAATGCAATTATCGATAATTAACATATTGGACTTGTAAAGTATAACATGCATTCCCCNCCCCCCGGTATAGCGTACTGCTTTACAATTAAGCTATAAGTTTCAAGAACTAGTGTCGAAATTATCCTTTTTAATAATTCCAACCATTAACAGAAATTAAGTCGTGACGTTACGGATTTTAAAAATAATTGTGAACATCAGAATCCGCGAAATTAAATAATCAAATATAATAGGAACAGCTGATCTCGAGAATTAGTGGATTTGGATTTATCCCGAATCAATGGAAGCTCTTCTCACGTTGCATTTATCTATGAGGAGAAGGTTTATATTCCTTCTCGTAGGTATTCATCTTCTTCTTGATGTACTCCGCTGCCTTGTTCTTCATCTTGTCCGTGATCTTGAGTTCCTCAATACTTCGAACTCTATCCCGCTCCTTCTTGTAGATCAAGTGATTCAACTAAAATATTAAAAATATGAAAGAAAGATCTTTTTTAATATTTTCATCATCCTTGAATAATCAAATATCATTTATTGATGTTAACAACTTTTGAATTTTTCCACCTTTTCAGTAGCCCAAAAATCAATCAATGTTCTCTAAAACTTTAAATTAAAAAAAAAATTCTAGGTATACACATTGACACGATACCAGGGTGGCTGGATCTTAGCTACCTCTCCCTGTGTATTAGCCTGAGTGTACACTTGGGATAGTTTACTGATAAAGGATATTAAGAGAGCATGGCATATGCGTACAGTACAACCATCAAATATGCAGTACGCTTTCGGAGTACAATTGTATGGGTAGGTTTTGTATCTTAAATTTTACTCAGTTTTCTCAGAACAGTTTATTAACAATGAAATATTGCTCTGTAAAAGATTGTAATGTTCGTCTTCCTGTGAAAATGTAATCCTGCACACGATAAAGGAGTAGTAGATTTTAATAGTTACATGAAAAACAAATTCTCCATTTAAATATTTTCAGAAATCACCCCTGGGTACTGTAATATACAGATTGATCTTTGGGAGTGAAGTTCATGGCCTGTACAATTAGTAAAGGATTAGCGTACTTCATCACTCTATATACTATAACCTCGTTGCATATTACATACTTGCACATATAATATAGAAAGTAGTTTTATTCCTGTTTTAAACTCAAATGTGTTGTAACGGTACTAGTTGGACTAAAGTGTCACGTGCAGTGGCAAGTCCGTACTTCCCTTCTGGAAAATTTGGGGCAATCCCTCTCCCTGGAAAATAGGGAGATGCCCCCCCTGGAAAATTGGGGGATGTCCCCCCCTGGAAAATTGGGGGATGCCCCCCCTGAAAAATTGGGGGATGTCCCCCCTGAAAAAATTTAGGAGAGCATGAAAAGAGAGCAGGCACCTTCTAGCCAATAAATTTTGATAGCATAGATAAAAATGTGTTTTCACCTTCCAAGCAATAATTCAATTACCCCCCCTCCCCCTCTGGAAAATATCATAAGCCGCCCCTTTTGCACTGTGCAGTGTTAAAGGGAGTGACCGGCTATGTAAGGTAGTTGAACTGAGTATGCAGTGTTGTTGAAAGCTTCTTTCGGATTCATTTGAGACATATTAAACGTTTTAACTATCTGTAAATCATGAGTTTGAACGCAAATTCGATGTTCATGACTCCTACTTTGGGGGTGGATACGTTTTCAGAATTAGTTTTTTTTTAAATATTAAATAACGTCGACATACAATGTAAAAAAGTTCTACATTAAACTACAGACGTCATGTATAGGAACATGTTGAGAAAATAAAAAATAATCTTTTCATCTAAAATAAGTAATCTTGTTCAATTATTAGTTTCTATTATCTCATTATTCTAGTTTCTCGTCATTGACAAAGATTTTCGCAGATTTTCTAGAATTATTATTGAAAGACATTTGAAGAATTTAAAGAAATCTGCGAATAATTTCAAAGAAAATAAGAAATTCAATATAATAATGAAAGCAAAATAATCGATTTGAGCGTTGATTTATTGAGAAATTTCTTTTGAGAAATATGTTCCTAATCATCTAATTAGACTACTGTATAATTTTTACTTCATTTTTCGTTGTTGTTATTTAATAATTAAAAAAACTAATTCTGAAAACGTTTCAACCGAAGTAGGAGCTTTGAACATCGAATTTGCGCTTAAACTCAGGATTTACAGATCTTTAAAAAGTTTAAAATGTCTCAAATGAATCCGAAAGAAGTTTTCCACAACACTGCATACTCAGTCCAACTACCTTACATAGCCGGTCACTCCCTTTAAGAAAAGAAAATTACCTTTTTAGCGAGATATTTAAAATCTTCGCTAGATTTTATCTGTCCTCTACCCTTACTACTCCTATATCATCAACATTCAATTAAATATTATTAAAATGGTGAACTAATTAAATTCCTATCCTTCATGGGTAATCAATAATCATATATTATTAAGAGGGGTTATTAGGTGGGACCAAGACGAGACAAGAGATTAATACGATTGAAAACTGAAAGGGATTAATGCAAGGGATTGTTAAGAGGTATCAATTGGGGAAATTCAGGAATTAAGAATTAAAAGCAGGAATAAAAATAAGGGATGGATAAAGAAAGGGAATTATATTTATTTTTTAAATTGAAATAAATTTCTGAAATGACTAAATTGAATGAGTTCCTGTATGGAGTTAAAATCTTAACTATCCAGGCAGACATCTCCTTAAGAAATCTTTCCCGCACTTTCTTTTCCGGATCCATCGAGGTGTCCGCCGCGGCAGTTGTGGTCCTGGGCGCAGGGCGGGGGGCGGGTATACTAGATGTATCGGCGAGTGCAGTCTCTGGTTCACGTTTAACCTTCTCGGTCTTCTTTGCACGCAATCTCTCCTGTTCAGCGCGCTCCTGGATCTCACGCCGGTCATCTTCACGGATCTAAAATAATGATTATTAAAAGGACTGTTTGATGTGACTCTACAAGTATAGAATGCATGTTCAATGTACCCTGAGTCTAAATTTTAAATTTTAAGTTCATGGTTAAATGCCACTTCTGACTTAATTTAAACCTGAACTTTAACCGTGAGGTTAAATATTTAACCCTGTGGTTAAATATTTAACTCGCCGAAATCGACGAGTTAAACTTTAAACAGAGGTTTAAATTATCTTGAAATCCTGCATTTTCCCTTTTTGTCTATTATTCAATCATCATTCAGCTGCAGCTGAGAAAGCGGCATTCAACTTAACGATATATTTAAAAGTGAAAACCTTGTTAAAGAAATTTCACGTTTTAGATAAATTAATTTTTGGATGTAAACCCAAAAAAACGGTTGTATGTTTTGTTTTCGGTTACGTAAGAACAGCTGATTAGCGATGGTTATGTAATATTCTCCGTAAATCCTTTTCTCTGATTGCTTCAGATTTTTCCGGGAAATTCAAATTTAAAATTGAGAAAGTTTAATATTTAAGTAGCTATTCATTATTTTACAGAACTTTTAACCACGAACTTAAAATTCGCGCATTCTTTAGTACTTCTGGTACTCCTAAATCCGTCTGATAAAAAATTCATAATATATCCAATATCTTCTCTTTGAAAATTGAGATAAATCGACTTGGGCAAATATGATTGTATCAGAAATTGTCAGAATTAAAAATCTCGAAAGCTAGAAAAACAACGACATTTTCCACAATGATTGAAGGTTTAAAGGGTATACCATTGTGAATCCGACACACCCCTCTGAAATGGACTATTTTCCTTCAAATTAAATCCTTTAAAACAGAACGAAAAAGTTTTTTTTTCAACATTTACTCATATATAATATATGAATTATTCCCAAAATCTAAATATTTGAAGCAAAAAATTGGCTAAAAAAATTATTCTAAACAAAAATTACCTCTCTATCAATCTCCCTGAGAACCTCCTCCTTATTAATTAATCTCTCCCTGATCTCCTTAAAGCAGGCGCTGTTGGACCTGTCCCTGGGAACCACGTGCTCCTCAACTAAACCGGTTTCCCTGTGTCTGGTATACCGGGCCTGGATTAGCTCTCGCTCAGCCTCGCGGCGCTCACGCTCACGTCGTCGCTTTAGCTTACGGATAGTACTACGCTCCTCTTTACTGACACGTGACCTAGACATATATAAACATTTAGTAGGTATCTCTGTTTGTTTGTATTTCCTATTATATCTCAGAAGCCAAAATGTTTGATTAAATAACTAGTTGTAAATAGTATAACCACAGGGATAGAGTTAATATTGAAAAATTGTATAGATCACAAGGCAAAGCTGGGTTCCCATGCTAGTTTATAATATGAACCAGTATTCTCTGTGTATTAGTTTGTTAGAATGTCTGATCAAAACTCTTTAACCCCCTTAGCCAGATTTACCTTACATTTTGACTTGGAAAGCCGGCTGAATCATGGGAGAACTCAAAGCTGTTTAAAATCTATAAGTTGACAAAACTTCCGTTTGCGCATTTATATAAAAGCAAAATGTTAAAAAAAATAATATCAAAAAGTTGGCTTAGTTTCATTTTTATCCGGATCCGGATACAGGTCACCCATATTTCTTAAATTTTTTTTTCGCTAACTTTTATGTTACAACTTAGATAAACCATTCATAGATAAGGAAATTTTCAATAATCCCGGTTTTTCAACAGTTCGGATTTTGGTTGTGAAATCAGTATTTTTTTTACAGTTTCTGGTTGAAAGTTGGATCCGTTTATTTAAGCGATCCGGATCCAGGAAGCCAAAATATTGCGGATCGAACGGATCAATATCCTAAATACTGCACATTACCAACCTACCACCACCAACCCACCAACCCACCAACCCACCAACCAACCAACCAACCAACCAACCAACCAACCAACCTGTCTCTGATCCTAAGCAGCATCTTCTTCTCACTTGCTGAAAGATCTTGATCCTGATTTATTAAAACATCCTCCACCCCTTCATCTCCTTCCTCTCCTTCCTCCTTTCCCTAAACACAATATTTTTAGGGATTAAGCATTTATGGATTTATGAAATATCTCAAGATCAATGAAATATCTAAGGATTAATGAAATATATAATGATTAATGAAATATTTAAGGATTAATGAAATATTTAAGGATTAATGAAATATATAAGGATTAATGAAATGTCTATGGATTAATGAAATATTTAAGGATTATTAAAATATTTAAGGATTAATGAAATATCTAATTTCTTCATCAGATTCCTCTTCATCCTCCTCTTCATCTGTAGAATTGGTTTCTATTCCCACCTCCTCCATTTTCTCCTCTATTCCGCTAGTTTCTTGATATTGATTATATTCTTGTCCCTCCTCTACCTCCTGCTCTGGAGTGGGAGGTTCCCATTGTGCCACCCTCTCCTCCTCGTGGTAGTAGTAGACACGCCCCTCACCATCAGTGCAAACCTGAAAATAAATTAGTTGTTGGGGGAAAAAATACTTCAACTTAACAAAAAGGTATGTAGAGATTGCTCCACTTGTTAACTCAAAATATGATAAAATTTATTTGCCCCCCCCCCCCCTGGTCACCTCTTGAAAAATCAAACAACAATTAATCAGTAATTTAGATATGTTAAAAACACCAAATTAGGTTTGCGAAACAAACGCTTTTGAGGGAAAGGCAATACATTTCTGTGCAAAAAGTTTTTAAAAAAGACAAAAACTTGCAGGTCCAATTTTTTCCCAACCAAAATCGCCAAAAACTTTGATTGTGTTTTTTTTAAATTTAAATTCACTATTTTTAGAATTTGAATAATATTCTACCTTCCATCGTTTAGGAAGACGAATAACAATACTCGCCGTCTCTCCGCCAACATTTAAACTAGAAATACCGCGAACTGGACTCCTTGTTCGCGATCCGGCCGCGGGACTGCTGAATGTAGAATCTTCGTCATAAAGAAGGCGGGACGCGTCACAAATTTCCAATTCATTCTGACGCTCCTTGGGAAACGGAATTTCAGTATCCGGGACGGAATTGAGAAAATCTATGGTTTTCGGCGGAACCCGCCGTGGCGTGCGAACTGGTTCTTGGCTCTCCGCCGTGTGAGGCCGGGAGGGAGTTGACTGATGCATGGTTGGCGGAGACACAGGGCGCAGTACGTTTGAAGGCGGAGATACAAGGTGTGAAGGCGGACTGACAGAGCGAATATTTGAAGTCAATGAACTGTAACATAAAAATAAAATTAATGAATTGATTATGTTAGTTCAGAAGCCTTAAGAAAGGTAGGAAATAAGTTCTGAATAAAAACCAAGAATATGTGCATGTGCATTGTACATTGTGCTGTTGCATAATTTTGATAATACTTAAATAATAAAACAGTAATTTCTTGTCTGTAGATACCAACAAAAAGTTAACTTAGAATAGAGTATATTCCTTTATTAGATTAGTTGAATCGAGTATATTCCTTTATTAGATTAGTTGAATCGAGTATATTCCTTTATTAGATTAGTTGAATCGAGTATATTCCTTTATTAGATTAGTTGAATCGAGTATACTCCTTTATCAGATTAGTTGAATAGATTAGTTGAATCGAGTATATTCCTTTATTAGATTAGTTGAATCGAGTTTATTCCTTTATTAGATTAGTTGAATAGAGTATATTCCTTTATTAGATTAGTTGAAAATAAAATCATGAATGGTTGTTAGTCCAAAATTACAACACAGTGAAATATGATTTCTCAGTAAATTATAAAATTTAAGTATTTTTCGACTTCAATCAGAATAACTAGTTTTAAACTTATCACAAAAAATTAGTAGATGTTAGTAACATATTTAGAAATAACATTTGAATTAGGTTCTGGATTCAAAAGTTTTCACTAAGTAAATAGAAACAAGGATTCATAGAACAGCGAATTTGAATTTTTTCCAAGAAACACATTTGATGAATGAAAAAGTTGTGGAACAACGTCGACATAGTTGAAACGCTTTTCTTATGCACCGGCTCGAGTTAAAGAGAAGTGGTTTAACTTAGTCTACCAAGTTCAGTTGATCCCAGACCGGAGAATAAAAAAGTGTAAAAATGCGGGAATATTTATCCATATTTACCGTTTATCATTATATTGGACTGGTGATGGAGATCTATAGTCTGGAGAGAGTTCAAGATCAGATTTATTCAGGTTCAATTGAATCTTCATTTTCTCCAGTATCCTAGCCTCCATACTAGTTCTCCGTTCTGCTCCATCCTTCCTCGAGCTACGGGGAGTATCTTCATCCTGGAGCAATGGGTCGCGTTGGAGTAGAGGAGAGCAGGGAGTAGAGGGAGGTATATCTCTATGTCTAGGAGAGGGTTGGATATCCCGAGGTCTAGGAGAAGGTTGAACCTGCCCTGGTCCTGGAGAAGGTTCAGGTTTAACGCTGAAGTCTGGGACGGGTAGAGTGGGTGGGAGAAGGGGGGCAGGAGGAAGAGGCGGAGCTCTTAATGTCTCAGGATCAAAAATAATGGTATCCGGGGCGGAATAAATCACGTGACCTGGGTAGGGAGGGATTACTTTCTTGGTGGATTTAGGACTTACTGCGCGCTCGGCGGAGGGAGATGAAGGCGGGGATTTTGGAGCTTTCTTGTACATTTCTTCATAGTAAAGCATTACTTCTAGATCAGTAGACTGTGCTCCGGGGACTTTAATGATACGGGGTTTAGGAGGAGGCTCCTGAGGACAGACTCCAGGAGGATAAATATCCCGGGGGTTCGTAAACTTAGGATCTTCAGGTCTATAAGCATCGTATGGTAAACAAGCCATGTTTGGCACAACCCAGGGTAAGGTTAAATCCTCTGGAGCAGAAGGCATTGGTAACCATCGATCTCCTACTAGGTAGTAGTCAGGGTAGGAGTCAAACAACGGTGTAGTGCCCGGGTTTAGTCCAAGGAGACGACAGCACTGCGCATGCCTGGTCTCTATAGCAGTTCGAAGGGTTTTCTGCCGACTCTCTTCGGCGATTTTTCCCTCGAACAGTGTCCGCCGGTCTTCACGAGAAAGTCCGAATAAACAAAGACGCCCAGTCTTATCATCTAAACGAAGATTTCTTCGCTCTCGTGGCACAACCGTTCCTCCGCTCCGTCCTTTCTCATGACCTCCTGACTGCTGATATCTGTTCCATGAGCCACGGTTTCCCCGCTCCGAACCTCTCTCCGGGGTATAATGAGAACTCCGTTCCGGGGTATAATGTGATCCCCTGTCAGGGGTAAATGTTTGATTTCTAGATATCTCCTGAATCCCCCTGTGCTCTGTGTAGCCCCTGCCTAATGCATGCTGATTGTGGAAGCCCTGGCTAAAATGCCGATCCGCCTCACGTTCATGTTCCACCCGGAGCTTATGTCGCTCCTTCTTCGGTATCTTAAATACCTCCTGGAGCAGGTTCCAGACCTGGAGGAGTTCCTTAGCTCGGAGCTGAACCAGGCGGACCTTGGAGATCAGTTCTACTCGTTCCTTCTCCTCCTCTTCTGTCAGGGGGATACCCTCCCTTCAACATCAATACACAATCAGATAATATTCAGATNGGGGTGAGGGGGGCTCAAAACAAAATGAAAATAATCAAAACTTTACTACTTCAGGGTATTAAAGGGAAAGTTTTGTAATAAAAATATTTGAATGAATTTAGAGGTTGGTTAATTGATTAAACAATTGAACAAGTTTCATAAAATTACGATTTTTTTAAATTTTGAGAAAAAAATCAAAATCAATACAGATTGCTTGCTTTAAGCTTAATGACTAAGAAAATGGAATGAATCAATTAATTAAGGTAAGAAATACTATGATTTGTATAAAAATAAATCTGACGTTGAAAAAAATCAATGAATATGATGTTTAAGGAATAATGAATTGCAACATTTGCTAAATCTAAAATGTAATTAATTATGTATATATTCCTATGTACTGGAAGAACAAGGATATCTCCCAACTGCTCCTCCTCCTCATCCCCGCCCACTCCTGCCTGGGCGGAGAGAACCCTGGCCACACCCTCTCCTGCATCCTCATGTTTATGGAAACCTTCAACTTCGTCTACACCAACAACCTTCACACGAGTACACTTAACAAATAAATTCATTTTTTGTGACATCCGTGTATTTTACGCAACAGGATTTTTATGCAGGATAAAATTATGTCATTTTAACCATCTGCTCCTGTTTTAACACTGAAAATGTATAAAGACTAGGTAAGAACTTTGAGATTTAAAATCAACAATATTAAGTGAAAGTTTATATTTTCTAATATTCTTAATATTCTTACAGAAGAAGGGAGGGGAGGGGGGGGAAAAGTTAAAAGGGGTTTATTTAGATGAGTGGCAAAATTCCTTTAGTTTCATATTGGAGAAGGAGAGAGGGAGAAGAGAGGGAGGAGGGGAAGGGAGGAAAGAAAGAGGGTAATGAGTTAAAGCAGTTCTTAGGATCCATTTAATTTTGATGCGGATCCGGATCCTGGATCCTCACTGGAAAAAAATGGATGTGGATTCAGGTTGTTTTCATTAAATTTACTGACTTTTTTTTTAACAAAGCAGAATTTTCAAATTTTTTGTCTTATTTTTTCGCTTATTTGTATGCTAAAACTTGATGAACCATTCAGAAATCAAGAAATTTTTATTATGTCTCTTTTTTCAATTTTTCAGATTTGAGGTTTGAGAGTATTTTTTTTGTTGCAGTTTTTTGTTGATTTTTATCCCCTTTGATCCGGATCCGTGGATCTGCATATTTTTGCGGATCCGAATCCAGGAAGCCAAAATCTTGCGGATCCAACGTGTCCGGCACCAATGGATCAGGTTCCGGATCCTAAGCACTGGTTTAAAGGGTTTTATTAAATGAGACAAATTTTCTCTAGTTTCATATTGGAGAAGGAGAAGGGAGAGGGGGGGGGGGGTAATACGAGTGAAAAGGGATTCCTTAAGTTAAGTGACAAATTTCCTTAAGTTTCATATTGTTCAAGCTGGATCTGGAACTAGAAGAACGCGGGTTACCTATTTCTTCTACAACCTGAATAAAAATCAATCATGATCAAAACGAAAAGAAATTATCTATATTTAAATATAGCATTTTGAATATGCCCTGAGTTTTTAGATGGAGAGGAGGTAGAGAATAGTAGTGGTATTCCTTAATCTACTGATCCCCCCCCCTCCCACTCTTCCGTCGGACTAGGGTTAAGATTTAAATGAAAATTCCCGAATTAAGGTATTTAATTCTTCCAAAAACGAAAAACGTAAGTGAGCATGAAAAGGTAAGTTTGCATAAAAAGGATAAGTTTGCATGTTTTAATAAAATAAAAAGGTAAGTGGGCATGAAAAGGTAAGTTTGCATAAAAAGGATAAGTTTGCATGTTTTAATAAAATAAAAAGGTAAGTGAGAATGCTGTCAGTACAAAATGATTAAAAGTTAATATCTATGTTGAAAACATCAATACAAGGAGCGGCTTGTAACTCGTGAAATAATTTCCATTCCTTAATGCTTGGAGCTTGTAAGAATATTCCTTCTTTCACGCTCTGACCGTGTAATAATTTCCATTCTTACACGTGTAAAAGAATGAAAGTTCTACACCTACAATGTAAGAATAGGCATTCTTAAACGCTAGGAAGCCAACAATATTGAAAATTTTTCTCCTAAACCGTGTAATAATGGGCATTCTTACACAATTGCTGTACTACTAAGGAACCGAACAGATATGATATAATACTTCTCCCTATTGATCGAAGTGACCTTTCCTTTGATTAAAGGGGAATGCCCGAATTCGGTGATTTTTAAGCTATGCTAGATAAAGATTAAAGAGATATTTATGTTTGCAAGTTTGAAAAATTGGTCATTTTTAATTGTGGTATTCTAAAAGAAGTAGAGAATTTTGGATTTCTGCTTGAGAAACAAAAACAAATCAGAATATATCACTTTAATTAAGACGGTATGATGTCTTTTTGTAAAGAAAGGTCTCCTGAAATCTACTGAAATAAACAGTCCTTTAAGAGAAGAGTTTACCCTGACTGTCTGATTGAGAGAAACCAATTGTAAATATAGATTTGCTGAATAATACCTGAATATCATCATCTGTATCTTCACAGTCTGGAACTGTTACAATATCAGGATCAGCTATCGTATCTGTTATATCTGTATCCCGGTTAGGTTCTTCTCCGGGTGGGTACAAATCCTCCTCCTCCTCTATGTACCTGAAATACAAGGTTAAAGACTAGGACGGAAAAACACAAAGAAGGAACGGTCTTATTTAGTTCTTGACAATCCATTAAAAGAGTAAAAAGCCCATTTCAAAGGCTTCATCTAGCCGATGTCCTTGTTTATTTACAATTGCGGTTTCTCTTACGGATTTACACAGCAAAAACAATTGAAAAGACAAAATCTTACTCATTGTTACTAAATAACGGTGTGAACGGTAATGTTTGAACTCTTTAAACTGAGGACTACTTAAAATAAGCTAACAGTCCCTTTATAAAATAAATTTTAAAAAAACTAAATATACGTGAAACTGAATCCGGCGGCATTATTAAAGTTCGCTATCTATCAATACTTTATTAAAAAATCTTTATTATTCAAAAACAATTAATTGTTTTAAACATTTCACATTTCCCCCATCCTTAATTTAACGATTAAAATATCGCAATTTAGCCGGTGTGTAATGTATTCCTAGTTAAGTAAACAGTGAGAGAATATATCAAGATAGATAGATAGGCAGGTAGTCACACGTTTTCAGGTATTTTAAAAATGTTTAGAATCATTTCTTAACGCAAAAAAATTATCGTTTATTAACCGTTTTAATAACGATCCTATCGTTATCATTTCTTTTTCATTAACATTCTTTTGAAGTGGTTTTATAAAAAAGTAATAACTCTTAATAAAGTATATTATGTAAAATAAAAAATCCCACTAGAAAGTCTGAAGTGTGTATAAGAAGTTAGTAGTATCTACCTGGAAGAATAGGACTAAGAGTATCTACCTGGAAGTATGTATAGGACTATAGAAGTATCTACCTAGAAGTATAGGACTAGAAGTATCTACCTGGAAGTATGTATAGGACTAGAAGTATCTACCTGGAAGTATGTATAGGACTAGGTCTAGAAGTATCTACCTGGAAGTCTGTATAGGACTAGAAGTATCTATCTCCATATCAATACTCTGTATGGAACTAGGAGGTATAGGAGAACTATTGCTTGATTGAGGCGCACTCTCACTAGAGGTGGAGGCTAGGGGATGGGAGGCAGCTGTGCCGGATAAACTGGGAGATTCAGATCTAGAAATTAAATTTTAAGAACTCACTAAATTTGGTAAACAAATTAACCATTAGTGGATCAAAAGGCTTTTTTATTTTACTTCTTTTGGCGAACTTTCAATTTTTAAAGCATATTTTTTTGATGCTTTCAACATCATTTAATTCGGACCAGCCATAGCCCTTAGGGTCCGATCGGTTTAGCCGTTCTTGGCGAATTTTAAATATTCAGGGAACCCTAGAAAGCCGTAAACACAGAAAAGCCCAAAAACTGTGAAAGTAAAAAAAGGCATTACTACAAGTCCAACATTAAAAAAAAAACATCTTTATAATTACATAAAAATAAAGTTGCACCTGGATGAGAGGTCTGCAGAGTTAGGTTTATTTTTGTTCCCTGAGCTGATAATTGGGTTTGGATTGACAGGGGTTGCTACAGACCAAACCTCCATTGAAGAGAACACCTTACTGTCCTTCAACATCGTTCTAAACAAACAGAAAATAATACTTTTAATTCTTATTGGAGCTGCCGTAGTGTAGTTTTCCAGATTCACATTGTTAAATCAATAATGGAAGATTTCTTACGCCATTGTTTCTAAGCAGAAATATGCAAGTCACTCCAAATAAAAATGATAAACTTTCGAGTGGAAAATCATGGATATCTCGTGCACTCTTGATCAGACATAATTTTTAATCGAAAATGGAGAGGGATGAATTAAAATTACTTGAGTAGCTTGAATAGAAGTTTCTTATTATCATATTTGTTTTGAAACATAAATCAAACTGTGAAGAAAACAGTTCACAAATCATAAAACAAAAAAGGAAAAAACAGAGGTACAATTATGTAAAGCTATGCTTCAAAGGGAAGGTTAAGGTTAAGGCGCTTGACGAGAAACTAGAAATTATGACTTCAATTTTCGTCAAATTCTTCAATTTTCGTCAAATTCTAACAATTTGTAACTGTAGTATGATGTAATATTCAGGTGTGTATATTTTTAAGAATTAATGAATTTTGAAGATCTGGGGGAAACAAATAAATATTTGACATGAAAAGGGAAGTTTTATTCCCAAAAAGTTATTTATATTCCCCTAAAAATCGTTTAATTCTCCAATTCAGCCAATGAAACTCTATAAAAATTTTACCTGTGAGGAATTGGAAGTTCTTTCAGAAGTTTTTCAATTTCAATTTTAAAATTAAGATCTTGTAAACTCCATTCCAAATCCTAGATTTAAAACATATTAGGAATCTTTTTAATAGATCAGGAACGGAATTTATTGAATTGGAGAGAGGTCCTTGAACTACCGACGAGGGTTCAATTCCTGAATCACTGAATCAGAGTTAGAGATTCGTGAATTCAAGGATTTAAAATTTGAATTTGAATAGGCGGGAGATAGTTAAGCGACCTTTCCAATTCAAAAAATTCGGCCCCTATCATGATTAAAGGTAAATCTCCTGAAAAAAGTGGAAAGTAGAGTAAAAATTAATGAAAATGTGCAAAACATTTATATATACAAAACAGAGTTTAATGACGTTTAAGAAAAAGGCATCTGAAATCTGAAATCAACTCATTTGGGGCATTTTTTCGCAAAAACAAAATCAAAAAATCAAGAAAAATATATAGAAAATCAAAACTCATTAACAAGATGAATATAACAGCATTGGCTTCAGATAGGGGTCCATACGATATCTCAGAAATTGATCAAAATAATAAAAAGTTTAAAATTGCCCAAATATTTAAAATGAATTTCTACCTGCATCCATTGTGAGAGTATCCTGAGGCCTTGGTAGTCAAGAAATAGTCTTTTACAAGGTTTATCTGCTGTAGAGATCAGCTGGAGTAATCTCAACCTACTCTCAACCTGACCAGCTCTAACCATTAACCTGGAGAAAACAAGGTTTATCTGCTGTAGAAATCAGCTGGAGTAATCTCAACCTACTCTCAACCTGACCAGCTCTAACCATTAACATGGCCGGAGAAAACAAGGTGTATCCGCTGTAGAGATCAGCTGGAGTAATCTTAACCTGCTCTCAACCTGACCAGCTCTAACCATTAACCTGGAAAAAACAGGTTTATCTGCTGTAGAGATCAGCTGGAGTAATCTCAACCTACTCTCAACCTGACAAGCTCTAACCATTAACCTGGAGAAAACAAGGTTTATCTGCTGTAGAGATCAGCTGGAGTAATCTTAACCTGCTCTCAACCTGACCAGCTCTAACCATTAACCTGGAGATAACAAGGTTTATCTGCTGTAGAGATCAGCTGGAGTAATCTCAACCTACTCTCAACCTGACCAGCTCTAACCATTGACCTGGAGATAACAAGGTTTATCAGTTGTACAGATAAGTTGGAGTAATCTTAACCTACTCTCAACCTGACCAGCTCTAACCATTAACCTGAAGATAAGAAGGTTTATCTGCAACAACAAAAAAACTAGTTAACAGTTGCAGGGAAATGGGAATACAAGGGAACGACCACCTAAATTTTGTCCAGTCGTCTCTGAAGTCTCATCCTTTGTGGATAACCCTGTAATGAACCAACCTGCAAAGATGAATGGTCTGAATCCTATTCTTAATCCCTGAAGAGGAAAGGCGTTGTATCTCCTCCTCCCACTCCTCTTCTTCTCTCCACCTCGCTCTCTCCTTCTCCCTCTTCCTTCTTTTCTCCTTCTTCTCAACCCGCCGTCTCTCCTCCTTCAAACTCCGGATATCATCCTTCTAAACAAAAACAGATTTAATTTTGAATTTAAAGTGAAGAAAATCCATCTTAAAATATAATTTTCTATTTAACAATAATGGCGTGTCCTTCTGAAATATTAACCTGAGGTTCCTCGTCCTCCTCCTCCGAGGTTGTCCACTCCTCTATCTCCTCTATACCAGAGTCTGAGGCTGGTTCTCGACCCAACCATCCTCGACATATAGAGGTTCCGCAGTAACACTTCTGAGCAGCCTTGACAAACAAAATTTTAAAATCAAAAATTAATTTTCAGAAGAATTATTCTTTTCAAGAATGATTTTTGATTCTCTTGGGGTGGGGAGTTAATGTTATAACCTGGACATCAAAACAGGAGGTTTCGTCTCCCTCTTTCATAATTTAAAAAAAATCTTTTATTTCCCCCAGCTAAGCGATTATACCAAACCCATGCATATAGGATAGAAAAATTGTTCTAAGAGATAAATCCCGTACCTGTCCGTATCTCTCATATTTATAATCAAAGTTTAATTCTTCTCCGGGCTCAACATCACGCTTTGTAAAGAATCCAACTCTATTCTCTCCTACATTACAAACAAATTTGTTAACAATAAAAAAATATATGATAAACTTCGTATCGTAAACGAGAAGAATAATAACAATCACAAGAATCAAGGATAAGACCACATCGAATACTATCCAAGATATGACAAGAAAGTAACAACAGAAAAATCATGACAAGTGTAAGAAGAAAAACAACGTAAGTTAAGACGAAAACATGACTTACAAGATCAAAAGTTACAGAAGATTTAATGTTAGAGAACCAAGGTTAGCATTAAACATTAAGAAAATGAGTAAATAAAACCAATAGTTACTACAAGATTTAGAGAAACCACAAGAACAATAGTTACTACAAGAAGAGTTCCAACAAGTAATTTAGGGTTACACCAAGAATAAGAGTTTAAACAAGAGCAATAGTTACAACAAGAACAAAATATTTACTAGAAAAAAGGGCTACAACAACAAGATAGCAAGTAAAAAGAAACAAGAACAAGAGTTAAAACAAACGAAAGATCAATAGCTAGAACAAGAACAAGAACATGAGAGTGTACAAGAGCTCACCGTTGACCATCCACTTCTGGGTAACCGAGTTCGGATCACAGCTATGGTTAATAAACCTTGAAATATTTCCCTAAAAAAACAGATTGTATTAAACTAAACAAAACTAAGGAATCCTACTGTACTTACAAAGCTAGTTGATAGCACCTAGCGGCCAGTTATGGAATAATTTAATACTTAATCAATTTTACATTTTGTTCATCGAAATTTGTATATTTCCAACTTGTCATTGTCATCTTATAACATGCTGATGTCAATATACGACGTTTACCTTATTTGTTGCATCAACATAACAATCTTTAGATAGCGCCATAAAATAGAAATGTTCCACATTGTTTCTTGAATATTGTTTTGCACGGCGTCTTTAATAATATAATAATATGAAAATTTATTTATTTCAAAAGAGAAATTCAAATGAAGTATACGTTAAGAACAGTTTGCTTTATTATGAAATCCGCGGGTCACTTTCTTGAAAATCCGCGGCTACAATTACTAGATTTCTCGGTCATCAATACATCAAGGTTTTGTTGGCACATCTCTTCACAGCCCATTTTCAGGATGAGAGATAAGCATTTTAAAAAGAAGAAAAATGTAACTGGAAATTACTTGAATTTTCAATTTCTCAGGAATTTTTCTATACTCTGTTTGAAAAGAATAATTAATTATTATTATATTTAAAATCCATATTATTCCTGAATTGTTTATGATCCAGCGCTTCTCCAACATATTCCATTATAAACGTATCCTATTTCAAACCAGACAATTCAAAAAAACAATAAAATAATTGTCCACATCTTAAAAAGAAATTAAATTGAGAAATTAAGAAAATAGTAGTTATTTATTTGACTAACTTTCATTATGGGTTTATGGGTAGTCACTGGTCAGAGTTTAAATTTTGCCCCCAAAAATTTTGATTTTTCAAAATCCACAAGAGAAAAATTTATAGATTCGCGAAAATCTTTTTGCTATATTGTTTGATAATTGAGTAGAATAAATGCCGCCTGATAGAGCAACAATAAAAGTTTAATTCGGTACTGTTTTATAATTGTCTTATTCCCTTTTGAATATGTTTGGTGGCTCTAACACCAAATCCTTTCCAATCTGTTCTGAATACTTCTATCGGTGCGTTCTCTTTATTCTGAAACCTAGACATTACAATATTTATTCTGTAGCCTGGACATTACTAAGAAGATTGATAATGCAGATTGATAAAACCCTGGATAAATTCGTATTAAGAACTCATTATTATTGAAAAATATGTTTTCAAATTGGGATTCAATAAAATTAACTACTATACATCACTTCTAATCAATAATCATATATTATTTGGCTTGCCTGTCTGTATCCAATAAAACCGTCGTTAAAAAAAAGCGGTCAAGCGCAAATTTTTTGTGGCAACTAACATGACCTGAGGGCAGGTTGGCTGGTCGAAGTTATCATTAAATAAAATTACCTTTTATTTGCACAATTAGCTTCCAGTGGACAATCTTTCCCACATTCGATCATCAACATTCTGAAATCAACCAATCAATCAATCACCAAATCAATTAATCAACAAATCAACCAATTAATCAGTCTATAAATCAATTATCAACAAATCAATCAACAATCTTTCGGCAAATAAAAAACAAACATACGTAAAAAATAAGTATGGTGGGGGTAGGAGTGGGGTCAACCAAGCAACCAACCAACAAACCAAGCAAGCAAGCAACCAACCAACCAACCAACCAACCAACCAACCAACCAACCAACTACTCACCTAAACTGTTTATTGATTTTCTTCGGAAACAAATATAAGTTCTCTGTGATGTGTTTAAACGATTTTAATCTTTTCTCCAACTCTCTTCTATCCTCCTCTTCCTGTCTTCTTCTCTCTTCCGGGGTTAGTTTCTTCTCCTCTTCTTTATCTTCCTTCTCCTTCTTCTCCTTCTCTTTATTTTCTTCCAATTTCTTCTTCTGAAGATAGCTCTTGGGTATAAGTGGTTGTTCTTCCCGGGGGGATCCTGTTATTTCACTCGATATCTCCATTCTACAAAATATATAAAAAATGTAATTTAACACTTATATTTTACAACATGTTTAAGACCCATTTGCTTACGAAACATACTAAGCACGATAATTTGACAGGTTTTTTGAGAATATTAAAAATGCTTTGAAATACAATTTTATCGCCTGTCTAAAAAACAGTGCTTATGATCCGGATCCGTTGGATCCGCAAGATTTTGGCTTCCTGGATCCAGATCCGCAAAAATATGCGGATCCACGGATCCGGATTCAAGGGGCAAAAAATCGACCAAATACTGCAAAAAAATGTTAACTCTCATTTAGCTGAGAACTTTGGAATGGTGGATATCAGGATTCATGCTTAATCCCCTGTTTTAGCTAATCTCGAGACTAGCATAATCTCGAGATTATCTTAGTCTTGAGATTAAATATTTAGATCATCAATTGGATTCTAAGAACGCCAGATTGGTTCGTTTTCTTGACTGGAAGTGCCTTCACTTAATTTCTCACCCATTTATTTATGATTACATTAGTTAAAATTGGTTAAAAAGGAATCTCAAACGTATTATTAAATATTTTTCTTCACCGATTAAATTACAAATTCTTGATTTGTTAGAAATTGCGGATTTCTCTCATGGATAGAATTTATTTTTTAAGGCTGTCATTGGTCAATACAATTTACGAAATATATTCATGCACTCTCATTGGAGAAAATAATGTAAAGATATCCAAAGAGAGAGAAAAAGAGTGGATTAAGGACTAAAATTAAAAGTTTTCACAGTGGATATTCGGTTTAAATAGTTGGGATTAAAGGTTATACATTCTAAAGTTCCCAGCCCAGGATCAGGATCCATTTTTTTCTAGTGCGGATCCAGGATCCGGATCCGCATCAAAATTAAATGGATTCTTAGCACTGCTAAAAAGTATTAAAAATGTCCTGTGAAACGTTTAAGATTTGGTAGAATTCGAACAAAATTTTCGATAAAAAAACATAAATATTTTTTATAGTGAAACAAGTGAATGGGAATTAACTGTCAGTCGGTATCCTTTACTGTAGGAGTAGAGTTTACTGTCCGTCGGTATCCTTGACTGTAGGAATAGAGTTTACTGTCCGTCGGTATCCTTTACTGTAGGAGTAGAGTTTACTGTCCGTCTGTATCCTTGACTGTAGGAGTAGAGTTTACTGTCCGTCGGTATCCTTTACTGTAGGAGTAGAGTTTACTGTCCGTCGGTATCCTTGACTGTAGGAATAGAGTTTAATGTCCGTCGGTATCCTTGACTGTAGGAATAGAGTTTACTGTCCGTCGGTATCCTTGACTGTAGGAGTAGAGTTTACTGTCCGTCGGTATCCTTACTGTAGGAGTAGAGTTTACTGTCCGTCGGTATCCTTACTGTAGGAGTAGGAGTAGAGTTTACTGTCAGTCGGTATCCTTGACTGTAGGATAGGAGTAGAGTTTACTGTCAGTCGTTATCCTTTACTGTAGGAGTAGAGTTTACTGTCAGTCGTTATCCTTTACTGTAGGAGTAGAGTTTACTGTCCGTCGGTATCCTTGACTGTAGGAGTAGAGTTTACTGAGAACAGAAGAAGAAACTTTTGTGTTATGAATCTCAAGGTCAAATATTCATCTAATGCAGACCTAAGGATTATTTCATTTCCTCAATCCCATGGTGGTCACACCCTGCAGGGATAAATCTTATTGAGAGATTAAGCATTGATTCTCAAACTTAAAGTGCCCAAATTGTATATTGAGATCAAGAATGTTGAAGATTAACGGTATTCCACACAAAAGTTTCAATCATAGAAAATCAAGGAAATGATGGTTCTTTCCAAGCAAATGTATTTGTATATTTTAAACATTTTACTCACCTACTGGAAGTAATTTCATTGGTCTCGGTGTCTTGTGAACTGTGGACTCCCTGATCTCCCTGTACTATATGTACACTGTGAACCCCGCCGGTGTAAACTTTGCTAAAATTTCGCGGATTTAGCGGGGAATCTGTAGAAACGGTACTATCCTCACTTTCACTAAATTTACTCGTCCGTCGTCGTGGTTTAGGACGATTATTACTGTTGAGCAGGTCAACAGGCTCGTGATCTTGTCGTCCTTTGTCCTGTAATGTAAAATAAAATCGTTTAAAAATTGATTCAACGTGCTTAGCTGTAATCAACACTTTCAAGAACAAATATTGTTTCCAAATATTTTCCCATTAAATATATACGAAAAAAAATTGTTTCAATGTTGTACTGTACTGAAACATAAATATGGGGGCTGTACTGTACTGTACTGTACTGTACTGTACTGTACTGTACTGTACTGTACTGTACTGTACTGTACTGTACTGTACTGTACTATCTGTACTGTACTGTACTGTACTGTACTGTACTGTACTGTACTGTACTGTACTGTACTGTACTGTACTGTACTGTACTGTACTGAACTGTACTGAAACATAAATATATGGGTTCCTAGAAATTTTTTTTTTACTCCCTCACTTACACCCACTGCCCAGTGCCCAGTTCCCATTGGATTTTTTTAAAGAAGCAATTTTTTTACAGGGTGTCCCAGAAAGAAGATTGATTAAAGTTGTTTAACCTTTTAATGCCTTTTTCTGGGACACCCTGTACTCTGAAGATATAACACATAATACCTGGGAGTTTCTTCTTTTGTTGTGAATCTTCATTTTCTCCAACTGTTTAGATACAGGAACCTTTATAAATAAATAATTTATCTAAAAATATCGTCATCACTTTAAATTTTAATAACAAAATACAACACAAGTAATAGAAAAAAAACACATAAAGATAATAGGCGACAGAAAGTATCCAGATTTCTTGTTTAAATGCTAGGGCTTTTTGTTTGAAATAGTCGGTAATATTTTGTACTGGTTTGAACTGGTATGTACAGGGGTGTCACACGAAACACGATTTGAAAGTCGTCTTTGATCTTTGTATTTATTTGAGACATATTTAGCATGAATGATTCTTGAAACAATGACCACAAAATTCTCCTAGTTCTGAGAATTCCAAACTGTAGTCTGTTTTTTGTACCTTAAAGATATAAAGAATTTCTTTCAGATTAATTTTTTTAAATATAACCAAAATTGTCGAAATCGGAAAAAAAATGTTCATGTACCTCCGGTAATATTGAGAGCACAAAAAAAGGCAAACCACATTTTGGAAATTCCAAGACTAAGGGTATTTTGTGACTATTAACTCTAAAATTTGACTTCTATAATTTGGTTTACAAAAAAATGCTGTAAATTATTTGATTCAAAGATTAAAGACGACCTTCAAGTTTCGTGGGGCACCCTGTACTAGTTTTTTTAAACCTGTGATATTGGAGACTGGTTCCGAGGTGTACTTGTAGCACTACTGTTTAAACTCTCCAACTCTTCATCAACTTCATTTCCTGATTTAGTAAACCCAGCACCAGGTTTCACAGATATTTTAATTTTATTCTTTACTCCTTTTGGTCGGCCACGCCCTCGTTTACCCTCAGGTGTTGGACCAGGGGGCGTGGCATGGGTTATAGGAGTGAAGGGAAGGGGCGTGGCTGAGCTGATATTTGTGTTGGGTAGAGGAGTAGCTGATCTACTGGTATCAGATGGCATCCTTCAAATGTTATTATAATTATTTTCATCATTCAACCTACAGTAAGAGTATCATGTCCTGTAGGGCTTATTTAGGTATTTTACGTCAAGCTCCAGGGTTGAGCTACTGACCACTTACCCTGTCGTTTGTGATCTAATGAATCATATCCGACAGTGAATTTTATTAGGATTCGGTTTGTAAGCCTGAAGTTAAAAGGCAGAGTAATATCAATAGTGCACACAAATATTTTATTTACTTTGCTCAAACCAATACTAGATCCGACACAAGTTAGCTCACTTAATCCGGAATATGTACAAAAAACATCGGGGAAACTTAATTTTGTTTTTGAAAACACACATTTTAAATGTTAACTTAAGTGAGAAAACATTTCTAATCATTAAATGGTTAAGAATCAAACTACATAAATTTAACAAAATAACGGTTTTGGATCCGGATCCATTTCTTGGAATGACGGATCCGGATACGTTTCTTGGCACGACGGATCCGGATCCGTTTCTTGGCATGACGGATCCGGATCCGTTTCTTGACATGACGGATCCGTATCCTTTCTTGGCATGACGGATCCGAATCCGTTTCATGGCATGACAGATCCGGATCCGTTTCATGGCATGACGGATCCGGATCCGTTTCTTGGCATGACGGATCTGCATCCAAATAAAATGGAGACTAGGCACTAGAAGCAAGTTTGCACAACATAAAAATAGATTTTTTAGCAAAAATAAAACGTTAAACCTAATTCACACTATATTTATTATTTATTAATTTAATCATGAATATTGGTGGAGGGGAATTTTTCAAAAACTGTGCAACCCTGGAACCGGTATAAACCCTGTTTTGATCGAAATACTACCTTTCGTCCTCAGAAGCATCTCTAGAATCTTGTATTTTATACTCCCCTTGCTCAGGAATAATCTCAAGGTAACATTGCATCTCATCGTCGCAACACTCCATTTCTTCTAAAACAACAGCTGTAAAAATAAAATAATTTTAAAATAGAAAAATAGACATATCATTCTTTTTATGAAACTTCATCGTGAATTTCGTAATGAACGTGCTACAAAATAATCATCGTGCTATAAAGTTAAATTAGCTATACATTAAAGCGCATGTGCTAAAAAGTTTTGATTGGTTCCCGGATATTCTCAAAAAAACTAGGATATTTCCAAAATATTTTTTTTTTATTTGAAATTTTATATTTTGACTTCTGCTTTGAAATAAGACAAGTAGACAAACGTTTCATAAAATTACCTATAACCCTATTATTTTGGCACGACGTGCTATAACGTTTTTGGGCTTATTTTTTTTCTTTATCTCGAAGGTTCTCGCCGTTTTAGATTATATTTTGTTCCGATCGCTAAAGCCTGGGACAAAATAAAATCTAAAAAGGCTTGAACCTTCTCGTAAAAAGAGAAAATTTCTGTCCAAAAACTTTAGAACACTACGAACCAAAATAACAGTGTGATAAATAATTATTTCACTTTTTTCTTCTTTCTTCTCAATTACTAGGCGTCCCTTTTTCTATAACAATTATAGCTTTGAACTCTGAAAGGCGCCATTTTTAATCGTTCTCAAATATCCGCGGATTTCTCTTTTTAATTTGGTTTAATTTTAAAAAATAATCGACTATTGACTATCCATAATCTTTCCCTAGGGTCATGCGAGTTACCTCAAAAATGTTGGCCTCGATCGGCTCAGCCGTTTTACGCTTATTGGATCCAAACAAACAAACAAATAGACACGCAATATAGAAAAGCAAAAACTATGTGAAAGATACAATTTATTTTTAAGTTATAAAATTTATATGTGTATACTGTATATCATAAAATATATGATGATGCGGATTTAACTTTCATACCTTTACACAGATCACCACTTTAAAAATAAAATTGAACAGGGCCATAAATATTTTCGAGAATTAACCCCCTTTTCCGGTGTAAATTTTTATTTAAACTTTAGCGCTTTTCATGGGGAGATAATTTTAAGAGAAAATATAAACTCCTGATTTCAAGAATTGAAAAAAATCTGCCTTTTTGTTACCTGGAGGGTTAGGTGAGGATTGAAGGAATTCATCTTCTATCTCAGGTGGGGCTAACAGACCCCCGGACCCAGGCTCCGAGGAGGAGGGGGCGGGCCCTAACAAAACTGGAGCCATTCTTACTGCAGTACTTGGCACTCCAGTTTTCAACTTTTGGGATTTTGGTTCCTTCAAAAATATTTAGAGATGTGTTTATCTTGAAAAGTCTAAGAAAAAAGCACAAGCACATAGTTACACAGATGAATTAAATCTGTTGACATAAGTTCTCTCTATTTAACCCTATAAAGGCTGGTGGGTCTAAATCTATGTATAGCCTGGGAGGTGGGGGGACGCCCCCCCTCCTAGAAAAAGGCCTTATGAATAATATGTATAGAGTTGAAATGAATGATAAAAGCCCAATTTTTCAGGCCAGCTCATTAAAAAAAAAATTAGACCAATAATTTTAATAGTTTGGGTGCTAGGGAGGGTTGAAAAAAGTCCAATAAAATGGTAAAAAAATGTAAAAAAAATTCTTTTAACTTTAAAACAAATATCAAAGTGTGAAACACTTTTCTACATCCATTTTTCAAGAGCTTTTCAAAATTATATTTTTTAGATCTGTAGTTTTAATTACAAAAAAGTCAAATGGCCTATTTTAATTATTTTTTTTTTACACGGACCGGACTTTTTTTCCACCCTGTACTTACCCTTTCAATTAAAAAAAGAAATTTTAACAAAAAATCCTTTAGATTTCTATTTATTAAAAAACAAAAAATTTCACGATGTAAGTGTCAAAAATGAGAGTGCTAGGGCAAAAAAAAACTAGAGGGGGGGGGGGTTAAAGAGTCGTGACAGACACACGACCAATACACAAAGGATACATTTAAACCTTACACTGAGTAACAATGATGGATTTATCCGTATTTCTACCTAAAAGTGATCATTTTCTATTGTGGTTATCTATAAAAAGTAACTTGCGGAATGCGGATATGTGCTGCAGACAGCAGACAGAAAAACGACGAAATCTTTTCTTTGTACAAACAAGGGTACCGTTGTAAATCGGGCGTGACGCTTTAAATTAGGGTTCAAATACACTTACTCCGACAGTCACTTTAAACACACATTGATATCTAACGAAATTGTGCTATTTATAACAAATCTTATTTCTAGTCGAAATAAACTTTTTTAAAAGGGACCGTTTACTTTCAAGGGTATATTGAGAGTAAACTAAATAATCTATTAGGTATTTATTGGTATTAGTTTCACTTTTCTAGGACAACGGTGGCCTGAGAAAAAGCCGATTTATCATTCAGAATTCAAGCGCAAAGGTATGATACCTATAGACACTATATGATGTCATTGAAATAGTGTCTATGCAAAGGTATAATTTCTGCTGGAATTCTAAACGATAAATCGGCTTTTTCTCCGGTCATAGATATCTTTGAGAAGTAAGACTAATATACCAACGAATAGCTAATAAGCTAATTAGTTTACCATGAAATTAACCAAATAAGTGAACGGTCCCTTTAATGCTGGTATTAAAACAATGTTTTTACCATTGGTGAAGATAGAATTGCATCAAGTAGATTTGAATCTTCCAAACTCGTCCTCTCAGGAGTCCTCTGCCCAATCCCTCCCACCACTTGAGAATATGATGCAGGATCTTTAACCTCGATGGAATCCACGAACTCGTCTTCCTCCGAGAAATCTGCGGATTTATTAGATTCAACGGATTGTGAATTTTCTGGTGAATCCTCCAGATTTGGTGATGCATCTACAGTGTTTTCTTCCATTATTTGCATATCTTAATAAATTCAAATCAAAACGGGAAAAAGAAAAAAAGATAAAAGCAATATGCTGTTAGGATTCCTAAGAACCTTCAGGGAAAAAAATCATAATTCTAGGAATGAGCCCAAAAAGACTAAAGGATGCGTACCCTAATCTGGAGCTCACATAACATGGCCCACAGGACTTGATTCACCGATTGATAACAATGATAATAAAGTGTCCGCAATTAAAACGCCAGTTTGTTCTGTGCTTATGGTTCATATTATCTATATGCGGATATGGAAACCCCGGTAATTTCCTAGAGAACGATTTTTGGACCCCCCCACCCCTTTCTATCAATTTTGTACATGGATCTTAAATTTAAGACATGTGGCCGCAGCGCTCGGTTCCCTAGCCTGTCCAAGCCGCAGCACTCGGCCCAGAAAGTGTCATAATTTAACCTAAACCGTGGACGCAGCGCTCGACCCCCTAGCCTCTCCTAGCCGCAACGCTCGGCCCGGAAAGTGTCTTAACCTAATTGTTGAAAAAGTGGTCATGTACAAAATTGATAGGAGGGGGGTGGGGTCCAAAAATCGTTCTCTAGAACGGACCCGGAAACCCCACGTTAAGCTATGCTGTGCGTCATATTTTTATATTTTACGCCTTAAACCAAAATTTCAGTTAACTATCGTCAATGTAAGTTTTTAATTTCATACCTCGTTCGCTTTCAGTCAAATCAAACCCATCTTGACTTTCATCTTCGTCAGAAGATGAGACAGACCTCCTAGAAAAATAAAAACATTTTTTAAAAGTTATAAAAAAAAATTCATGGCATGCAAGTATACTAAAATCGTTTTTTTATATTTAAAAAACATCTGAAGGGGAGGGGGGCGGGGATTCATATAGGAATTTATTTTCATGCTCGCCTATAATATTGTATTTCAAGTTTTTCAACCCCCTTAAAATACTTTTTACCCAAAAATCAATTATTTCTTCCAACAATTATTTATTTTCCTAACAACCTGACGTCTGTGGTTCAAACTTATTTCCAAGAATAAATTTTTTATAAAATATTTACAAAAAGGTTTTGATAAATAAATATGCTATTATCACTTCAAAAATGTTAAAGTTCCATTGTGACGACAATTTTAAACTGCAAATTTATATCTTTTTCTACATTTTTCATAGGGGAGCCTAGCTAAATCAAAAAGGAGCAATGGGCATTTGATTCCCCTTTGTCCAACAAAAATATCATTTATAAATATTACCTTTGATTATCTTCTGGAGCTTTAATCTTCCTAGACCGGGTCATTTTAGATAAGTTCAAATTGTCATTGCTGAATTTAGGATGAAGAATTCCTCTTAAACCTTTACAGTATTAAACATATGCTTTCCTTTGGGCGTTCAGTTGGTTTTAAGTGTTCTTAATGATCTTTTCTTTTGAGAATCTGAAAAATATAGCTTTTCTATTTAAGCAACATAAGGAAATGGGATCTTTAAGGTGATTTCCTAATATACGATTTATGGACCCCCTCCCCCCCTCCTATCAATTTTGTACATGGATCTTATATGTTGTATGAACCAAGTTCAATATTGTGTATATGAAGCAGGAACCAAGTTAAACCAGGAAGAATATCTTAACTGTACTTAAAGAAGGGGTTAGAGAATATACTTCAGTCCCGCATACCATCTAGCCGGGTTCACATACACTTTATATTCGGCAATGTTTATTATCAATTGGAATAAAATATACAATAATAATAGTATCTTAAGTTGTGCTAGTTATGCATTTAGGTACCTTCCCACCTACCAGACTTTTTTCAGGCACAATGTAAGACACGGATATAATTGACCATGTGACAACAGAGCTTGGCCCACTAGCCTGTCCTAGCTGCGACGCCCAGCCCCCCTGCCTGACTAGCCATAGCGCTCGGCCCAGAAAGTGTCTTAACCTAACCTAACCCTAAATAACAAAAAAATAAATAATAATAAATTTGCTGAAAAATAAATGGTCATGTACAAAATTGATAGGAGGGTAGGACAGACCCCGAAAATACTGCCAACTATCTCTTTATCTAGATCATATCTTGAAAGTTTTGAATTTTTCAATATTTAGATAACAATTTGGCTAAACTCATCGACTATGAATTTATCCCCCCTCTCGTGGTCTAGATATTACGACAGATTTTTTGTAAGCTTTGGTCATGAATTCGGAAAAAATCCGGAAAATGCTTATTTTCGAATTTTCGGAATGGGTTTTGTTAACTTTGAGAATACGACGCGGCAAATCTAGCATTTGCAATATTTTAAGAAAAGACGACATTTCAAATATATTTTATTTCTATTTCTGAAAAATATTAATTTACAGATTACAGAATGGTTATAGGAGGAGTAGGAGACAGGAGTTGTAGAAAGAGTTGAGGGACCAAATAGACAGAGGGGGTGGTCTTGGTTACTTTGTCTGCAGATAGCGCGGAGCGCTTATTAGTTTACTCAAAATACTTCAATATTAAAATGGAACGGGGGCACCACATAAAACACCCACTCTGATGGAAAGTGGGCTAAGGGGCGTCAATATATCGCATATATCAGAATAGCAGCTAATAGTCACGTATTCAGGATTACTCACAAAGGATGATACTGTAAAGACGACCCTTAAAACTTAAAAATATGACGATTTAAAGCTTGATTTTTGGTTTCTGTATTCAATTGAGTATTGTGATGGTTTACTAGATAATTAAGCACAGAAATAAGCCAGTTTTGGCCTACAAGGAACCCTAAATGCAAGAAAATTTCGTATAATCGACTCTGAAGTCTCATATCCTATGAGGGTAACCCTGTACTATATACAATTTTACAATAGAGCAGCTTAAAGTTGTATGGTAACTAATTTGCTGGTTGTAAATCCAATGTTTGGAACTTATTTAAAAAAAATACATTGTGTCCCACGGAACATTACAGTTTGTGAATAGCTTTTAGAATGTCTTCTTCAATAATTTATGTATACTAACGTTTAAAAATATTTGCTTGGTAAAGTGGAATCTACAGAAAACGCAATATACAAATAAAAATATTTATTTCAGCCTGAGTCGTCGTCGTCATTTTTCATTGCACTCTGCCAGAGACAAGATTTTCGCGGATATTTCTATTTAAATTAGTTTTTTTCGGACAACATTTCCACCAGCGCCATAAACATTCCCTTGGATCACGTGAGTTGCCACAAAAAAATGGGTCCGATTGGTTTTGGCCGTTTTTACGTTTAAAGGATATAAACATAATAACAAGCAAGGAATATATACATGCAGGGTGTCTCAAAAAAAAGTTATTAATTTTTAAAAGTTTGGACATTATTGAAAGCTCATGAAACAGTTCAGATCGATTGATATTAATTTTAGCTATAAAGTATCACACAGATTAAAGAAGAATGAACAGTTAGGCACCCTGTATATATAAGAATTAGGATAAGAATTAAGTTATAATTTTAAAATTTAGAACGGGATAAAACGTTTCTTATTAAAAATATTAAAAGTTTAGCATATCATGACAAAGTTAATTACACTCACATTAAATATGGATATAATTTGTCTCCAAAAAAATCTAAAATCTTTTTTAATTTTTTGAATTTTACTGTTCATAAATGGTTATTTTTTAACAGTTTTACAACTTTTTGTTTTCTATTTTCTTTAAATCTAGGTTTAAAACTTTGAATCTGTTCAAACTTAGATTTAAAGAATGCGTGATCTGAATTAATTATAGAATAAGAGTTCAGACGAATAACATGCTGTATAATCTTTTTTTAAATTTGCGACTTACATCATGTTAATTAAATTTCAGTGAAGGGTCAATCTGACATTTCATAAAAAAAACTTTAGAATTGGACAAACCCAAATAAACGTGCCCGGCGTTGCCCGTGAAATTTTTAAAATCAAATTTTGAAGAAAAAAAATCGATTTTTGAAAAAAAGAATAATTTAGAATGTTAAAGAAAAAATAATATGGATTTTTTAGATTATGTTGCCCGCGGGGTACTCAAGGGTTCCCTAAAAAAATGTCAGCCCATTCAGTCCAGCCGTTTGGCCAGCTACAGCTAACATACAGGGTGTCCCACGATACATGAAAGTTGGTGAATAGTTTTCAATGTCTTCCAAATATACTGTTTGCGTATGATACAGGATTGTTTATGTCAGACGTAAGTCTATTTGATCTTATAGATAGATCAAATATTGAACAATTAGTAAGGCAGCAGTCAGCACTTTGGTTTAAAGTAATAAACTTTAAACATTAAACATCAAAAAACAAAGTACACAATGTTTAGAAAGAAAAGCATGAACATCTCTTCAACTACACCATGATGCTAGGATTGGTGGAGTAGGAATTAATAGAATTGGGGAAGATTGTGAAGAAAAGTTTTTTTGAATTTGTAGGATTACATGATGAATATCTCACATGGGATTATCATCTTAGTAAACTTAATAAAAAGTTATCTAGTTCATACTTTGCTCTAAATAAAAAATATACTGCCTTTAAAAATAAGAAAAACTATTTACAAAATTTCAATACACTTTTTAAAAGTCACATGGAATTCGGAATAACATGTTGGGGTGCTTCTAAGAATAAAAAATCAAGAATATTGAAAATATTAAAAAAAAAGGCTATAAGAGCAGTTTCAAATTCAAGCTTTAAAGCACATACAATTCCAATTTTTGAAAAACTAAATATTTTGAAACTGCATGATATTCTTCAATTGAAAGGTTCAATTTTTATGCACAAATAGTTAGATGAATGGCTTCCTGAATAGTTTAATAATATGTTTTGTGCTTTGTCTCATCAAAACCGAACAAAATGCTTAAGATTAGAAATTTCCAAAAAATGTTCCTTCCACAAATATGGAATTCATTGTCACTAGAAATAAAAAACTCGTGTTCTTTAAACTCGTTAAAAAATAAATTGCATGCACGGATAAAACATATATGTATCTGCAATTTGAATGTTCAAAATCAAACTGTTATTCATGTATTCTGAATAAATAAATGTGCCATCCTAAGTTCTGAGCAAGCTTTTGATTCTGATTGAGCTACATAATCCCTCCTCTCTTCCTAATATTTGCCCCTACCAATTGGTCGAAACACCTCCAATTGTATGATTTAAAAAATATATTATACAATTACATCCAGGTTTGCCATTAAAAACGGCCAATGTTGGCTTGACAAAACCCGTCATTAAAGTGTTAGTTTAGAAGGACTGTAAAGGAAAAATGAAAGGGGTATAGGATGAAACCTGAGAATCTCAGGCGTTGAACGATACATATAAGACATCTCTCTGATGTTCCTGTCTCTAGAAATTGATATAAAACTGTGTAAAAATTATACGAAAATTCATATTATACAATTTTGTATAAAAGTAGTAGGTTTAAACAGATCATATTCATCAAATATGCAACCAATCTAAAAACGATTATATCCCACAGGAGCCTGAGAATCTAGGGTTTGCTCCTATTATAAATTTTCAATTTTTATTTAGTGTTTTTAATAGACATAATTGATAATATTATTTCATTTAATCCGTATAGTCTTTATTACGTCACCAGAATGTCAGCCAATGGCAATGCAGTATACTGGTCACGTGATTTCCGTCTGTATCACGTGATTAGTATACTGCACTGCCATTGGATGAAGTTCTGGTGACGTAATGCGGAATATACAGACTATATGTAATAATATTAAAAATTATATTTATTAAAAATGCAAAATAAAAATTAAAAATTGTAATAGGAGCAAACCTGATATTCTCGGGCTCCTGTGGGATACAATCGTTTTTAGATTGGTTGCATATTTGATGAATATGATCTGTTTAAACCTACTACTTTTATACAAAATTGTATAATATGAATTTTCGTATAATTTTTACACAGTTTTATATCAATTTCTAGAGACAGGAACATCAGAGAGATGTCTTATATGTCTATCGTTCAACGCCTGAGATTCTCAGGTTTCATCCTATACACCCTTTCATTTTTCCTTTACCGTCCCTTTAAAGAATATATCCATGTAAAATTTATGTACCTTAATTATAAATATCTATCTATCTATCTATCTATCTACTGTATTAGATATTGAAGACTTTTTGTTGTTTATTTTGTTTAAAAAATCTTTTACTTAAATACATTTACTCAAATATATTTTACTTTGAACTCAATTTTACTGTAAGATGACTCCCATACAATATTTTTCATTGTTCTCTTTAGTATCAAACAACAATTATGGAAGAAGACATTTTAAACCATTCACTAACTGTCATGTTTCGTGGGACACCCTGTTTATACAAATGTATATAATCGAAGTGCTTTATTATGATTAAACAATGGGAGATAACAGTTACAAAGAATTAGTTAGATCTATTTTATCTTTTTAAATTTATTTTTAAAGCCAAATATAAGCCATAAGGTGTATACTGTAGGAATAAAGGAACTGAGTTTTGTTTTCCAAAAACTCTGATTTTCTACAGATTATCTTCGTAACCTGTCGGATACCTTTCTTACTTCAAACTATGAATTCTTTTAGATCAAATAGTTTGAAATATTAAACCATCAGGTTGCAAAGATTAGAAAATTTGAATGTGTGACAAAAACTCAGTCAGTTCCATTGTTGGACTAGGGATATCTCAGTGCAGCATAGTTAGATACTTTTAAAAATCTTGAAATTTGTACCTGTGCCTGAACCTGTACCTGTACCTGTACCTGTACCTGTACCTGTACCTGTACCTGTACCTGTACCTGTACCTGTACCTGTACCTGTACCTGTACCTGTACATGTACCTGTACCTGTACCTGTACCTGTACCTGTACCTGTACCTGTACCTGTACCTGTATCTATACCTGTACCTGTACCTGTACCTGTACCTGTACCTGTACCTGTAACCTAAAACAAAACATTTGTCCAGGTAAAATGGGGACTAGATTGAAAAACTATCTTTTTCTGATAATTCTTCAGATTGGACTGCAGTTAACCAACCCTGTAAACTCTGTTTCAGGTCAATAATTATTTTTTTTGTCAATTGAAAATCTAAGTAAGAATAATTTTATAACAATAATTAATATAATATTATTTCATAAACCTGTTTTCAATTGAAGTAGTTGATTATTTTAGTCAATACCTTGATATCACCTTGGAACTTTACCTTTGGCAGCAGCAGTAGCTATTCAGATGATCTGGAGGAAGACTTCCTCACCGAAGAAGATCTTAACGGCAATTATACTTCTGGTGATCTAAAAAAATTACTGCTTACTGATGCCGATAATGTTTCTGATATTCTGACTAAAGAACTTCAAACCAGCATCACCAGCAATAGTTCTGGTATTCTGTCCAAAGTACTTCAAAACAGCACCAGAAACAGTTCTGGTATATTAAATGGAATAATTCAAAGCAACACATATGATATCATGTCAATTGCACCAGCTTTCATGAATGATTCTACCACCTCAAAGTCAAATGGTTTAGAAGGTTTGACTTCAAAAGCTCCAGAACTAGAAGGTTCGACTGCAAAAGCTCCAGAACTAGAAGGTTTAACTGCAAAAGCTCCAGAACTTCCAAACACCACTGAGATAAAAGATTCACAGGACTTTCAGGTAGAGATTAAAGGGTCAGACGATGAACCTGATATGCAGGATGTACAGATTTATCCTGAAGATGTTAATGAGATCAGTGATAATGTTAATGTTGAGATCAATGATTATGAAAAAGATGATACTGGAGAAAAGTTTATTCAAGGCAAATTTGAAATTAATAAGATAGAGGAATTGAACCTCACCACTATAAATAAAGCAATGGAGGAACTATTTGATGAAAGTAATTTCACAAATCTAGGTATCTTTTTTATTATATCCCATAATCTTAATCAACTTAAATTAATTAAATTGTTTTAGAAAACGAGACCTATTTTAGCAATGATACTCTTGAAAGTGGATTTCTTCATGGATTTGGTAAGATCAACCTTAGAAGACCCATTTTTCATTCTTACAAAGTTCATGCATTGCTAATTCCTTAATTTTAGGGGAATCTATCTCAATTATCCTTGTTTCTGAAATTGGGGACAAGACGTTCTTCATTGCTGCCATTCTAGCGATGAGGAACAATAAACTGATTGTGTTTATTGGTGCTACTTCAGCACTTTTCCTCATGACAGTCTTATCTGGACTTCTGGGTTGGGTAGTGACAACATTTATACCAAGGTGAATCTAAATAATAATGATTTCATCAATGAATGAATTAACACCAACTTGAATATAGGGAGGTTACTTACTATGGGTGTACCGCCATTATGTTCCTGTTCGGGTTCAAGATGCTGTGGGAGGCCTGGCATATGGATGATAATGAGCAGGAGGAAACACGAAGAGAAGTTGAAGATGAACTAGCTGGAAGAAGAAACAATGATGGTAAGAAATATGAAAATAATTGGAGAGATCACTGAATTATCGACATTTCAAATCCTAAATCCTTGATTCAAATCTTTATGGATCTTTAACTTTGAACTGGTGATTCAAGGTGGTAGATAATCAGCGACCTCTCTGAATTCATTAAATTTCATCCTAGCTATTAATATCTATTTCTCTAAACTTTGGTAATTTCTATAGCTGGAAGTACAAGAACTGCAAATCGAAGACAGTCCCTGGAAAGTACATCAGGACTGCACTTGTGGGATTTTGCATATTGGCAAATAACAACAAGGAATGCAATTTCTGAAGCAGTTTCTACCGCTCAGGAGATAAAAGATCTTCTCAGATCAACAACTGCTGAATTAACAGCATTTATATTTGGCTTACGGAACTCAATGAGCTCATGGCAACCACAAGCAACACAACGGCCTACTGAGCTAGCGGAGAACTCTACTCTGCATGTTGTCACAACGGGTGTTACACGTGGGGAAGGTATTAGCAATCCAGGATTTGTCGATTTAGATACAGAGCTTGGATACAATGAGCACAGGCATGCAGATGGCATAAGACAGGAAGCAGGTAAATAATCAAAATAAGTTTAAGGAGAATTTAGAATTTTTTAGATTGCCATTGAATGTTTTTATTTATCTCTTTGACAAAACTTTTTAAGTTGTCCTAATTGCAGACTTTGAAGAGGCATATAATGAAACCAGAATTGAAAACTTGAATAACAGACCGGAGCAGACACAAGAAGCGTTTAATGAAACCAGAATAGAAAACTTGAGTAACAGACCGGAGCAGACTGAAGAAACTCAACCTCCAAGAGCAGTAAGATAAAAAAAATCAAGATCTCAACTTTTCTTTAAAGGGACCGTTCACTTATTTGGGTAATTTGGGGGTAACCTAAATAGCCTATTAGCTATTCATTGGTATTAGTCTTACTTTTCAAAGACAACTGTGGCCTGAGAAAAAGCCGATTTATCATTCAGAATTCCAGCGCAAAGGTATGATACCTTTGTAATTACACTATTTGACACTTTTTGTCAAAGTCATGGATTTTTTAAACTTTTCAAATATCAAATTAAATTGTAGTAATTATGGGTAATTGCAGATATCTTAATTTTTTTTCAAAATTATTCTAAAATTGTCTATTTTCAAAATATATAAATTATTTTAAACATTTGACGGTTTGATACGTTTGATACTTCACCAGAAATCCCAGTGATTTATTAAAGAGTTAAAATCTAGGAACCAGTTTGTCTGAGAGAGAAAGTCGTCTTTGTATAAATGTGTTAATTTGTTGAATCATGTTTGAACACGAAAAACGTAATTTTCTTGCTATTTCTAATGCAAAAGTTTGTATTTTTTATTTTAGAAATAATTTTAGAGTTTATTGGGCTGTTGTTACTGAAAAAAAAAACGTTTAAATATTGTGTCTATGCAAAGGTATCATACCTTTCCGCTGGAATTCTAAACGATATATCGGCTTTTTCTCCTGTCATAGATATCTTTAAAAATTAAATTAAAAATTAATAGCTAATAGCCTAATTAGTTTACCATGAAATTACCCAAATAAGTGAACGGTCCCTGTAATTTATCAGTTAAAATTTGTTCACTTATTGATATTATTTCTTGGCGCCCTGAGCCCGACTTCTCGTATTCTACACTCTGTTCCATTGTATCAGCTCTGACATCTTATTTTTAGGGAAAAACTGGATTTATTGATGGTTTGATAGACAGGTAATTCAATTAGAATAAAATACAAGGAAATATTTTATCTTTTCAATATACACAAGTTTATGTTTAGAACATGTAAAGAGAATTCTTGGTTCGGAAAGAAATGCCTCCAGGTTTTGTATCCACAGTTTTAAGGGACTGTAAGCTTAATTTCAAGTTTAAAGAGACTGTAAGCTGAATTTCAATGGTTTAAAGAGACTGTATTTCTGAATTTCAAGTTTAAAGAGACTGTAAGCTGAAGTTCAAGTGACCCTCCACTAAAAAATAGCATTTCCCGATTTACAACGGTACCCTTGAAACCTGTCAAAGCTGTTAAAGGGAGTGACCGGCTATGTAAGGTAGAAGACCTGAGTTTGCAGTGTTGTGGAAAATTTCTTTCGGATTCATTTGAAGCATATTAAACATTTTAAAGATCTGTAAATCCTGAGTTTGAGCGTAAATTCGACGTTCAAAACTCTTACGTTTTTAGAATTAGTTTTTTAAATTATTAAATAACGACGACATAAAATGTAAAAAAGTTCTACAATAAACTACAGACATCATGTATAGGAACATGTTTTTCACAATACTGCATACTCAGTTCAACTACCTTACATAGCTGGTCACTCCCTTCATGAGTGCCTTGTGAATCGGACATTGCAATGTTTGCATAGAGGATCACTTGAAATTACGCTTACAGTCCTTTTAATGTGAATACTTGTTTCTCTATTCTGAAAATATAAATCCATATATTTTCAGGGATACGTTCTTCAGAGCCATGGGAACTCTTTAGAGCCATGGGAACTCTTCAGAGCCATGGGAACTCTTTAGAGCCATGGGAACTCTTCAGAGCCATGGGAACTTTTGTCGAGAAAACTCATAATCATGATCGCTTGATTTCGATATCCACTGTGGGGACTTATAATTTGAGGATCTATAATGAAATATAACTTTCCTTATCTTCATTATATTTTTTCCTCTCCTAATCTATGTTCTACGACATTGGGTTGCAAAGATATATGGAATAGAGAATCAGACTTTTGGGCAAAAGTCAAATTTCATTAAAATTTGCGTATATGATAATAATGCATCGTGAATCGTGTTTCTAATTTGCGTATATGATAATAATGTATCGTGAATCGTGTTTCTAATCCCTTTATTTTTGCAACCAACCAAATGTTGAGATCTTAGGTATTTCAACTATGAAACTATTAAAATTTTACACCATCATGTTGCCGGGATATTAGGACTTCAAAATTTGAGTTTGTGGCAAAGACTCAATACCTTTAAACCACCGAGGGATTTAATGATAAAGGTCTGGTTTTAATATGGACCTGAAAAAATGAGTTTTTGAAGAATGTAGTAATCTATTTCAGTGTTCAGTGTACAGGCAACAAAGTTCATTTTAATTATTTAGGTTTTCAAATTGTTCATAAATACCTTCACGATGACCTTCATTGCAGAATGGGGAGACAGATCACAGGCAAATATATTGAACAAAATAATTTAATTATCTTTAAAAAAAATGTCATTTTTTGTCCAAAAAAAAACACGTTTTTTACCGTCAAAGTTTACACTTTAGTTTTAAAAAAAGTTTCATACAATATTAAAATTATAGTCTTTTTATAGTCTTATAGTCAATACAATTTTAAAATTCATGCTTTTAAAACTACAAAATCTAATTTTACAAACTTGCTAAAGTAATTTAACAATCCCGTAAAAATGCCTTCACGCACGTTGCAAAGTAAATTGGGAACATGTTGATGTTGTTGTTGTTACTTACTTGATGTTGTTGTTGTTGCAGTTGGCTACCATTGTACTGGTCGGAATTAATGATGTCGGAGGAGTTATTGTTGGAGGCTGTTTAGGACACTTTATCTGTACTGGAGGGGCAGGTATTGTTGGAGGCTGTTTAGGACACTTTATCTGCACTGGAGGGGCAGGTATTGTTGGAGGCTGTTTAGAACACTTTATCTGATTGAAAAGGAGGCGCAGGTATTGTTGGAGGCTGTTTAGGACACTTTATCTGATTGAACTGGAGGCGCAGGTATTGTTGGAGGCTGTTTAGGACACTTTATCTGAACTGGAGGCGCAGGTATTGTTGGAGGCTGTTTATAAAATTTTATCTGCAATGGAGGGGCAGGTATTGTTGGAGGCTGTTTAGGACACTTTATCTGCACTGGAGGGGCAGGTATTGTTGGAGGCTGTTTATAACATTTTATCTGCACTGGAGGGGCAGGTATTGTTGGAGGCTGTTTAGGACACTTTATCTGCACTGGAGGCGCAGGTATTGTTGGAGGTTGTTTAGAACACTTTATCTGATTGAACTGGAGGCGCAGGTATTGTTGGAGGCTGTTTATGACACTTTATCTGAACTGGAGGCGCAGGTATTGTTGGAGGCTGTTAAGGACACTTTTTCTGCACTGGAGGGGCAGGTACAGATATTGATTTTTTAAAAAGGATTTAGTACTTTGCAAACCAATGTCAGAGACCTGAGGTATTTCAAAGATCAAATAATCTAAGTTTGAAATATCATAGGTTTGAACCATCAGGTAACAAAAATATAGGGATTCTAGTCATCCCTCTTCTCAGTATGAATGAAGCGTGGACGGATGCATGTGCTGCCAGATTACAACCCCTGGTAGATCAATAAAAACCCGCAACACCAAACTTTCGAAATAGAAAAATTCCGAGAATTTTATCCTTACAACCCGAGTATGTCCTGGAGACAAACAAATCTCTTTAAATAAATTATTTTATCATAGATAAATAGAAGTATTATTTGGTCATATTTCATAATAAGAAATATTAAAGGTCTACGAGATTGGGTTGTAATGATATAGAAACTTGAAACCCAGAGTTTGTGGCAAAAACTCAGTCCTCAGTCCTTTTCCAATTGAGGGTTTTCTTCAACAAGGACCTGAGGATTCAAACGACAGAGACATTGAAATGAATTGCCAAAATTGAACACTTTCGAATATAGAAAAACACGATATCTTCCTTACTGCCCAATTTTATTTATTAATTTTCTTTCAGTGCTTGCTGGGGCTCTTATTGCTAAATATGTGTCAGTGAGAAAAGTGTCATTTATAGGTAATTTATTTTAAATATTAAAATAGAATAATAATAATAATAATATTGATAATGATAATGATAAAAATAATAGTAATAATAATGATAATAATAATAATAATAATAATAATAATAATAATAAT